GCCTCTCCGCGGTATATCACGTCCCTTCGCCCTCATTTCCCCAAACCTGCGGGCTGTCAGGCTGGGACGCTCCGCCGGAGAGGCTTCAAAGCCAAGCGGGGAGCTCAGGCTGTGCCATCACGACGTTCGCCCCAGCATCCATCCCCCTTGCAACAGAGACATCAAAAACATCTCAAAATAGCTCCCGAAGCAAGGGCGTCTTGCCAGCTCAGCTGCTGTCCTCTCCCGGCCCCGCCGCGGTGGTGCTGCTCGGCAGAGGCACGATGCTCGCTTGCCGGCGGGGCAGCGGGGACGGGATCGGTCAGGAGGAGCCCATGCCCGTGCCATTCCCGAGGAATGGCAGCTGCTTTCCTGGCCGGCGGCAGCCCTGGGGCCGAGGGACAGTGGGGAGTGTTGATCCGTGGGGCTGCGGTCCCCGCACCGCTTTGCCCCGTCTCTGCGAAGGGCAGGTGGTCCGGCATATGTGACAACAGGCTGTCCCCGGCGGGAGGGGGACACAGCGCTGCCCGTGCGCTGGGAAACTCCTGTCGTTGAGATTTTGCAGCCAGGTGCAATTTCTTACCTTTTCACTGAGAAATGGAGCGGGAAACTCTGGGGCGCAGGGAGGAGGGCCCGGGGCATCACTCCCTGCCGGGTACTCTGCCCCGAGGCATCCCCACCAGTGCTAGCTGGCAAAAGCATTACACGGCGTTGGTCTGAGCGGGAATCACCCACCCTGGCAGAAATGTGCAAAGCTTGAAAATGCCTTGCTAAGAAGGTGTACTCGCTGAGTTTTATTTTTCCCTGGGCTGGGAGCATGGCCTTTTTCAGCTGCTTACCCACCCCCTGAGGGTCAGCTGCCAGTAAAGAGTGGTGTGATGAGCAACAGTTTTCTTTCCCCAAAAAAGCAGTGAGCAGTGCCAATAAACCACCTTTGAGGGTGCTTCTCACCAGGGCACAGCCCAGCAGTGCCAGGAAACCACTGATGGGTTGGCTGGTGGCAACACCTCTCAGAGCCTGGGTGAGGGGCTCCTCCAAGGGCTGCAGCCCCCAGCCCTGTCCTTCCGAGCCTCCCCCCATCCCACCTTTGCGCAGCCCATCACTTGCTGACTATATGCGACAGCAGCCCATACGTGCAGGTCCGCCGTGGTGTGCAAAGGCAGAGTGAGCGCCATCCCACCGAAAAACCTCCCTGGGATGTGCTGAAGGACACGGGCCGGCGGCCAGCATGCCGCTATTTCATTGTGGTCGCTCCGTCTCGCTGGTGGACGGGGCAGTTGCTCTGGATGTGCTGATTTCCAGCCTCGGCACCAGCCTGTCGGGTGCTGGCCGGGAGCCCTGTGGAAGGAGCATGCAGGCTATAGGTCGGTTATTATTATTTCATTCAGCCAGTTGCTTTTCTCGGATGGAAAATCCCCGCTTGGAGAGCTGGAGTCCAGGCAGCGCAGGCAGGGAGCAGCCCGCGGGCAGGGAGGAGCTACCAAAACCTCCCCTCGCTCAGGGGACAGTAATGCTGATGCCCATCAGTCAGAACAACTTTTTGGAGCCTACCAGCAGAGACAGCCCCGAATCAGAGCTGCTAGGAGGTTTGCAATACAGGAGCTGCCAAAATCTCCCTGGCTCGTGTCCAGCTGCAGGTGCCAGCCGGCGTGATGCTGCCTGGCCTGGGGCGAGCTGTGCATCTCTGCCGGGCAGGTATCATCGGGCTGTGCCCGCAGCTTTCCTCCTGCCGCCGGGCCGGGCAGAACTGTCATTTCAGGCTCTTAATTAAGGAGCCGCGTTGGCCATGTCTGCCAAAATCCTTCTGCTGATGTGCCTTAACACAGCCCAAGATGCCGGCGTGCAGTGAGCCCTGCACTGCAGACGGCATGTGGGCAACCCGGAGTACCGAGTCCCGGTGGTAAATTTACTCGCTACCTATTAACTGCTATCTGCAAATGCCATAAACATTTATGATCCCATAAAAAATAGACCTGATATTCTTGGGGGAGACAAGCAACGTTTCGCTCCTTGTGGTGTCACCTGCTGTGTATTTTGAGTTGAAAGTGTAATAAAAAGAGCAGGATACAAAGTGCCATCCGCAAAAGATTAATAAAACCCAACAAGACAGGGAGGAGCAGAGCTGGCCGGGGTGAGGGATGCTCCTGCAGCTGAGGCAGCAGCTGAGCGCGGAGGGAAGATGTGCTGGGCTCCTTCTTTGGTCATCAGCTCCCTGATTACCCATTTTGAATGGGATTTTCAAGGAAGCCCAAGAGAATTAGGTGCCACATTGCCACGGGTGTAACAAGTGCGTAATTCAAGAGATCCCAATCCCAAATTCCTGTGTTTTAGCTCTTTTCTGCAGAACGAGAAGATTTCGTTCCCCTCCCGAGAGATGTGAAACCACAGTGCACAAATTCAGGGGCTGCAGAGGCAAAGCTGAGCTCCTGGGGACAGGAGGGCTGCGGGGCCGGGTAACGACTCCCGTACACAGCCCTGTGGTCCTGCGGGTTTGCCCGTCTCTGGGCACGGGCTGGATGTGCTCTTGGCCAGGACGGGCAGCGGGGAGAGGGCAGAGCCAGGCGTGGGGAACGGTTTTGAGTTAATGCAGCCCCCCAGCCAGCCCTGCTCAGAGGTAGCTCGAACCAGGACTGCACACTGGTGTCCCGCGCAGGCTAACGAGCCACTAATGAGTGTCCCGCTAACACCTTTCCCTTTGCCCTCGCAGAAAACGTCACCCAGCTGATCCCTGAGCCGGGCAGCCTGCTGCACTCGCGGGTGCTGCAGTATCGGGAGCTGCTGGACTCGCTCCCCATGGACGCCTACACGCACGGCTGCATCCTGCACCCCGAGCTCACCACCGACTCCATGATCCCAAAGTACGCGACCGCTGAGATCCGCAGTAAGTCGCCTCTCCAGCGGGGCTGCCCCGGGACGGCTCCCCCAGCCCTTCCTTTAGGCTCCGTTCGGCTCCGCAGCCTGGCCAGCCACCCTGCTCTTGCTTGTCTCCCCTTTCCACCAACACTGGCAGGGACGGAGCTGGGAAATAGCAAAGCACGGCTAATTTGGGAGCTGCAGGCACCCTGTAGAGGCTTCCTAACCCCAGGGGTGTCTAGGCTCCCGTGGGCCATGCACGCTTCTCTCCCAGCCCTTTCTAGGGCACATGAATTTGCTCCCTCTCCCGCACGTCCCCTCTCCCTCCAATAGCTCTAAGGGCAAAGGCGGGAGAGTACAGCCAGACTGAGTTGCAGATAGTGGATGAATTGGCATAAGACTGTGTACCTGACCTTCAAGCGCTCATGAAACATTGACAATGCTTAATATAACTCAACGGCAAGGATTGCTCCTGGAGAGAGTCCCTCGCCAGGAAAGTGACCTTGTTAGGAGGGCATCAGCGTGCCCCACGTCTCTCCCCTCCTTTAGGCTCGGGGCCCAAAAGGTGCCTGTAGCAAACACTGTTCCCCCCACCAGTCCCTTCAGCTGTCTGGGTCACGGATGGTCCCACTGAAATGGGATGCACTCAGGC